GCCACACACACACACACACACACACACACACACACACACACACACACACACACACATGCGCACGAATGCAAATCCGCGGCTGCCTCACCAGTCGCTCGAGCTTCCAACCACAACGACGTAGCTGCATTGCTCCTCATAGCGTGTCTCCTTGTCGTTGGCGCAGCGGACACACGTCTCCCTTCCACACAACTCCTTTTGTTCTGTTCGGATGCACATGGACAACACAGAGCAAGCGCGGGTGTGAGATGGCAAGCGAGCAACAACCATGCGCGCGAGTGAAACAGATGATGTGTATGCATGTGAGTGCATGTGAGTGCATGTCTGTGTAAGTCTATGTATGTTTGTGTACGTGTTGCTGTTACCCATTGCCTGTCTTCAACGCGTGCCCCCCCCCCCCGACCCCGTTCTGTTTCAGCACCACCTCGCATGCAAGCAACGCTGCCCAACCTCCTGCGGGGTAGTTGGTCTCGTGTATGTCACATGCCGCGCTGGGGTGTGTTCCTTCTGGAATCGATTTCGATGGAAACGTGCATGTGCACTTGCACCGCACGTCGTCGTGTTGAAACCGTGTATCGCACTGCACGAGCACGCATGTTGTTGTTTTCCGGTGTTGAGAACATGTTCAGCAATGCTTGGCTGCTGCAATTGAAGGAGGCGCAAGCAAGTACAAACGCACAAACACATACAACACAAACACGCAAATGCAAATGCATACAACACAAATAACACGCACAAACACACAGATACAACAACACGTACAAACAAACACAAACACATTCACATGCAACACATACAGCACAAACAAAGCACAAACACACAAGCAGACACGCAACACACAAACAAAGCACAAACACACAAGCAGACACGCAACACACAAACGCACAAACACGCGTACCGTTGAGTTTGGTGGTTGGTAGCCTTGTGTGGGTTGTGCGCTGAGACTGAGGAGGAGAAGAAGCAGACCACATACAGCACCAGCCACAACCATGGTCCCTCGCAACCATCGCCCTCCGCGTTGGCTGGGCATCGCGTTCATCATCATCATGGTCGTCGTCATGGTCATCGTGTGGTTGTGTGACTGAATTCAGCGTACACGACTGAATTCAGTCACACAACCACACAATTCAACGGATCACACAGCAGCAAAGCAAGCAAGCGAAGCACAGCTGACGCACCTCCTCCTCCTCCTGGCCTTTGGCACCTCTCCTTCCATAAGCACTTCGCAGTGCACGGCACGATGGACTTGACAAACGCCATGCACAAGATGACGCTGGTATGTCCGAAGGAATGCGCTTTGGGGTTCCCTTCTTATCATCTGTGTTTGATTCCTCCTTGGCTTGTTTGCTTGTGTGTCGATCAAAAATGTTGTTTCCTCGGTGCGTGTGCACCGAGCGCTGCTGTGCATTGTTTACGTTTTCATTTGTCATTCTCTCGCTCACTTGCTCACTTGCTGACTTGCTGACTTGCTCGCTTGCTCACTTGCTCACTTGCTTACTTGCCCTGTGGTCATTCACCCTCGTTCTTATTGAACTGCTCGGACGACGTGGCGATGGTCGTGTTTACGTTTTCAAAACAACCAGAGCACGCAAGCTCAGGAGTTTCAGCCATCCACGTCTGCGCCCATGATGACACCTGCTGCAAATGCACAGGAGTTTGTGCCTTCGTACCTCAGGTGGACAGCGCCTTGTGTATGTGTGTGTGTGTGTGTGCGCGCGCGTGCGTGTGTGTGTGTGCGTGCGTGTGTGTGTGTGTGTGTGTGTGTGTGTGCGAGGCAAGACAGAGTGTGCGGAAGGCGTCACACATGCACACATGCACACATGCATACATGCACACATGCACACACACACACACAGTGCCTCTCTGGCTCGCCCTCGCTCTCGCTCTCCCATCCACGTACTCACTCGCTCAATCATTCGATGCTTCATACTCTCGTTCCATGTCTGCCTCCCCTCTCCGTCTCTTCAGCAACTCCAACACACCGGCGCTGTCGCCTGGGAGTGCACCTTTTACGCCAAGCGTGAATGCGCACCACCCAACCAGCATACAGGCTGCACCCCAGTCCTTCCAAGAGTACCACCCATCGACAGAGCCCGCACAGCAGCTTGCACAGGTGCAGGAGTACCACCCTTCATCGGCATCACCCAGCACAAACCCAGGTGTCCCCAACACACAACCCCTGCAACAGCAACAGCACCAACCGCCGCAGCTCGCACCACAGGGGCTGCCCATGCAACAGGGGCAATACCAGGACCCGACCATGTTCCCTGGTGACCCCATGTTTGATCCCACCGCCATGGGCTTTGGTGCGCCCCAGCACGCTGACCAGGGTGTTCTTCCAGGCTACATTGAAGCGGTGCGTGCGAATGTGTGTGTGTGTGTGAGTGTGTCTGTCTGTCTGTGTGTGCGTGTCTGTGTCTGTCTGTGTGTGTGTGTGTGTGTGCGTGTCTGTGTCTGTGTGTGCGTGTCTGTGTCTGTCTGTGTGTGTGTGTGTGCGCGCCTTCACTCCACCGTTCCGCTCACCTGCCTTTCATGGGTGCCCTCTCAATGCTGCGTGAACGCCTACCTGTGTGCATGTGTGCATGTGTGCCTGTGCACACTTGCATGTCCATGTGCGCGTGTGTATGTCCATGTGTATGTGTGTGTGTGATGCACACAGTACCAAGATCGCACGCGTCCAATCCAGCCACCTCTGGAGCCGCTGCCGTACATGTACACCGTTGGGCAGCTCCTCATGCCCCATGCCGCCCACAAATTGCGCAAGACAGACTCCTACTTCTCCTCAGAGGACCTCCGCAAGGTGGCACCGCCGTTTGTTTGTGCGTGCGCGTGTGTGTTGTGTGTATGTGGGGGTGGGCGTTTGTTCGTTTGTTCGTCGGTTCGTTTGTTCGTTTGTGCATTGTGGTGTGTTATGTGTGGTGTGTGTGTGTGTGTGTTGTGGTGTGTGAGTGTGTGTTGTGGTGTGTGAGTGAGTGGGTGTTTGTTTTTTTTATTCGGCTGTGCATTATTGTATGTAATGTGTGTGTGTGTGTGTGTGTGTTGCCAACGTGCCACTCACTTTTGCTGATCCCCGCCCGTGCTCCCACATTGTCCTTTGTTATGTGTGTAACAGGAGCTGCTGTCTCAGCGCTGCGCTCTTGAGTTCTCCGCAGTCAGCGATCCAAGTCAGTTGTGATGCATGAGCGCATGTGACCGACCAGGGTTGCAATGCTGTGGCGTGGATGCACAGGTGCCTGTATGGTTGTCTATTTGCACGCACAAGCACCCGAGCTGCACCCTCGCGTGCACCCCAATCCCCATACGTCTTTCAACGTTTCCCTGACCAACAATCAACTGCGCGGGCGATGCCTGCATGTATACGTGTGTGTGTGTGTGTGTGTGTGTGTGTGTGTGTGTGTGTGTGTGTGTGTGTGTGTGTGTGTGTGCAGACTTGCCGCTTGAGGTGGACAACTACCACACGCTGATGCCGCTGGAGCCGATGGTGAATGTGAGCAAAGTGTTTGCGCTGCCCACCATTGCCTACAGAGCCGTCAGCAGCGAGGACGGACAGACGCACATGCTCAGGCGCCTTGTCGGTGTGTGCCCTGCTTCCATGTTGTGTATGTGTGTGTGTGTGTGTGTGTCTGCGTCTGCGTGAACGTGCGTGCGTATGTGTGTGTATGTGTTTGTTTGTGTGTGAACGTGCGTGTGTGTGTGTGTGTGTGTGTGTGTGTGTCTTTGTGTGTGAACGTGCGTGTGTGTGTGTGTGTGTGAGTGTGTGTGTGTGTCTGTCTGTCTGTCTTTCTGTCTGTCTATGTGTGTCTGTCTCCGTGCGTGCTTGATCCTCCTTGTTGCATTTGTTCTTTTGTCTTAACTGCAACCCATCCCCACCCACCACCACCCATTCCCACCGTCACCTGCCGCGCCGGCCTGCAGGCTACCAGCTGTCGGAGTCTGAGGCGATGAATCCCGTGCGCGCGTGGCAGAAGGTCGCGCACGTGGGCATTGCTGCCGTGAAGGAGGCGTTCACCACCAAGGAGTTTGGCGACAGCTGTGAGTTGTAGTTGCAATGGTGCAGCCACCAGGAGAGGCACACACAAGGGGAGACACGGAGATGCGCAGAGACAGGGCGACAAGGGCGGGGGGCGGGACGACATTGCTCTCAGCACCTCACAAACCACTGTGCACTTCTGTTGCCCCTCACCCCTACCCTCACCTGACTTCACCTCTTCCTTTCCTTCCTCCCATTCACCTCCGCTGCTCCCCTTGCCTGTCTGCGTGCGTGCGTGCGTGCGTGCGTGCGTGCGTGTGTGTGTGTGCGTGTGTGTGTGTGCGTGTGTGTGTGTGTGTGTGTGTGTGTGTGTGTGCGTGTGTGTGTGTGTGTGTGTGTGTGTGTGTGTGTGTGTGTGTGTGTGTGTGTGTGTGTGTGTGTGTGTGCGTGTCAGCGCTTGTGTTTGCTGGGGAGTTTTTCCCGAATGCGACGACGCTGGAGCAGCGGTACCTCAGCACCGTCGCCTCCCGCCCCTTTGACGAACACATTCTCTGGGACTTCACCATCCAGCTCACATCAGGTGCAGTGTGCAGTCATGCCGGTGGTCATCGTCGTCGCGGTTGTCGTGGTTGCCGTGGTTGTCGTTGTGGATCTGGGTGTCGTGGTGATTCGTACTTCTGGCTGGTGGACTCGGCTGTGCACGATGATCTGCTGCTCTTGGTCGTGCACCCCTCACAATCACCACCACCAAACACGACGCAACGGCCATGACGATCATTCGCCCGCCATGGCTGCAGCGATCCGGGCTGCGCATGCGTCAAATCTTGCTGTGCGGTGCGTGCGAGAGTCGAAGGTGCTGGTGACGGCGCGCCAGCGGCTCATCGTCACAGGTGTCGGTGTGCAGGATGTGCTTGCATTTGACGCGAACCCGCCCGTCGACATGGACGAGGCAAAGGTGCGCACGTGTGGCGAAAAGGCAAGGGTATGGAGGTGTGTGTGTGTGTGTGTGTGTGTGTGTGTGTGTGTGTGTGTGTGTGTGTGTGTGTGTGTGTGTGTGTGTGTGT